TTATCAGACGACGCCTGCGACCGCGACCACCACCACTACCAACACCTCCTCGACCGCCAACAGGGCCTATCCAATACTTAGGCACCAACCTCGTGGCAGTCTTGCCGACAACAGGAAGAGCTAGACTAGTCAGACTAGTCACTTTGATAATGATACTAGCACGGGCATTTAATTAGATTTCAACCCTTTAGACCCCGAAGCCGGCAACAAGGTGGCGGCACGGGCTCCAAATTCCGTGCACTGCCCCGCAGCGGTGGCATCACATTGCTGTACAAGCCCAGGAGCCCAGCTTTCATTTAGCCATGTTGCTATTGCTGCTAGTGCTGTTGCTACTGCTACCACGCCTAAACTATGGAGTTGAACTAATGTTGCCAAACTTTTGCTGCTGCTGAACCTACTGCTGCTACACTGCTGCTGCTGCTGCTGCTGCTGCTGCTACGAGTACTAAGTACAAGTACTAGTCCTAATGCTACTGACTACTTCTACTTCTCCTTGTACTTCTACTTCTACTGCTACTGCTGCTGCTACTACTGCTACTACTCGTACTACTACTGCTACTACTACTACTACTACCACCACCACCACCACCACAACCACCGCGACTGCTACCCCACCGCGACTACTACTGCTGCTGCTGCTGCTACTGCTACAAGTACTGCCACTACTACTACTACTACTCCTCCTCCTCCTGCTGCTGCTGCTGCTCCTCCCCCCTCCTCCTCCTCCTCCTCCTCCTACTACTACTACTACTACTACTACTACTACTAGTACTACTAGTACTACTACTACACCACTGCTACTAGTACTAGTACTGCTGCTGCTACTACTACTACTACTACTACTACTTCTACTACTACTACTACTACTACTACTACTGCTACTACTACTACTACTACTACTACTCAAACTGCTACTACTACTGCTACTGCTACTACTGCTACAAAACACTATCACTGCAACTTGCGATTGCAATTATTGCCACCGCCACTGCTACTGCTGCTGCTCACACGTACAGCACGACCAATGTACTGCTACCACTGCTGTTGGACCTGAGAGTCAGCTCTGCGCCCGAAAGACTCAGAGAGTTCCTGCTGACCCACTAAACCCCTAAACCCTAAAAACCCCTGATCTCACAAACACCTCGAGTGAGCCTTAGGATGCCCTGCGCCCTATGCCAGCCCGGGAGAAAGACAGCCTCAGTTCCCGGCCAAGGAATGCTTCCCACCCGAAGGAGAGTTGGCGCAGTCTTGAGTTGACGTTGCTCCAGAGCCCTGGCAAGCTCTGGAAGCCTTACTTTTCGAGTTTCAGAAGAACGGCACACGCAAAAAACAGGCAGTACATAGTAGCATGCTTATCACAAGCACTCCCAACGACAGAATTCTCTGCGGCCCCTGTGCTTCGAACAAGTTTTGTGCAGCTTACCTGGCCGTCCTTGATATGGTCACAGAGGCTTCGCTTCATTGGTTCGTTGGTCTTTCGTGGCCATGAGCCATACGTATCATGCACTACAGTGTGTGTGTATATATATATATAGATATACACACATAGAGATATTTACATCTTACTATAATAGTTACTAATAGTGTTGTGATTATTGTTACTGGTATTAGCACTCTTTACGGTTATTGCGGGCATAGCGAGCACGATCCTCGGAAGTTCATGACTCCACGAAAAGACTCGGCTACCTCACCGACCGTGGAAGTCCTGGACTCTAAAGGGTGCAGGTTTCGGAGTTTAGGTGGTTTAGGGTTTAGGGTTTAGGGGTAGTCCTTTGAGAGAAATTCATCCCTGCCATGATTAGCTGAGTGGCAGCCGACAGGAATGATTTTCCAGTGAACCGTGTCATCCAGCACGGGGACTTCTCAGCGCACCACGATGTCCGCCTGGTGCGACGCCTGAATCCTTCATGCGGGGTGGGCAAGGGCCAGGGTTGCCAAGTTCGAGTGAACATCTTTTCGTTGGCCTTCTTGATGCGATGAGCATCATCATCATCATCATCGTCATCATAATCATCGCCATCATCACCATCAGTTGACATTGATGAACGTTTCGAAATGACTACACCAGCGATGATTCTGATCATGATTTTTTGTGAATCGTGCAGATGACCACGGGGAGGCCTGTCCTTTTTCTGTTGCTTTGGTCTTGGCCTTGTTGTTCTCGTTCTTGGTGCTGGTGCTGGTGGTGCCGCTACTGCTGCTGCTGCTGCTGCTGCTGCTGCTGCTGCTGGTGGCGTGATTCTGGTGTTCTTCTCATTGTTGGTGTTGTTGCGCCGTTCTGTGATGGTGGTACTTGGTTTTCCCATCTTGCTGCCCTGTTTATTGTTGAATTCACTTGGAGCGTCGGAGCCTCTGGCATCGCCCAGGTGGATATTCCTGGGCTTGCGAACCTGAGACCCGTGCGGGAGATGTTTGCAGCATGGCGGATTGCTTGCTCAGAACAATGCCACAGGTTGTCTGTCTATGATCGGAAGCCTGTATCGGGGTCTGTGTGGTCTGTATGTGTCACAGCAAGAAGGCGTCATCTTCCTTGCGGCCCTAAACCCTAAAGCTTCGGTGGACTTTCAGGTATGCTTCAACGCCGCAGAGTACACCCCCCCGGGGCCCGGTGAGCGGGGCTGCCGATGCAAGGCACGTGAAGCTTTTTTAGGTTTAGGGGTTTAGCGTTTAGGGTTTAGGGATTTAGGGGTTTAGGGTTTAGGGTTAGGGGTTTAGGGGTTTAGGGGTTTAGGGCTGGGGCCTTCCACCGGAGGTGGCTTTTCACTGTTGCAACCCGACAGTTTGGAGGTTTCTTTGGGGCTTAGAGTGGGGTGGGGCCGGGCCGGAAGGAAGGGATGATTGGTTCTGATCCGGTCTGAGCCGGCATTGACCAGCTGGTACCTTTGCAAAAAAATGTGCATATATATATATAGGTGCACATTTATATTCATATGTCTATGTATATGTATGTAAGACAAAAAGGCTTCGTAACCCATGCGCGGCCCTTACTAAATGTTGCCGCAGCGTACGGTTCCTGACCAGCCTGTCTTGCTGGCAGCCATGAGGCCCATTCTGAAGCATCAAGTTTTGTTTGCGAGAGGTGCAGAATGAGACGAAAGGCAGAGACGAGCGCTTGGGCCGTGAGCCCTTCGACGGCAGCCCGAAGATGGGTTTACTGTTTGTTCTTCTGAAAACATAACATACCCTAAACCCTAAACTCTAAATCCTAAACCCTGAACCCTCAACCCTAAACCCAAAAACATGTTGTGCAGTCAACAGATGGATCCCAATGGGCTTGCACCAGGGCTCATGGGCCGTACCAGCACACTACTGTCATTCTCTGGGCTCTTGTTAAGGAATTTAATTTAAACTACCATCATAGGGATCTAGAGTCAGTAATAGGGTTTCTATGTTATTCTAACTTAAATTAAATGCCTTAACAAGAACCCAGTTACAGTAGAGACTCACCAGGTGCACACAGGGCCTCACAGCTTGCCCCGAAGGGCCCCAGGCTCAATGATGTAGGACGTCTTGGGCTGGGGTAGTGATGCGGTGCATCTCCTTTAGAAAGCTGAAATGTCCTACACTAGTTTGAACGGAGCATGGCGAAAGGAGTAATTCGATTCTTTCATGCTGGCTCTGTAGCTATATCTTCTAATCACCATGAATGTGGCCCTCATTTCTTTTGGGGCTTGCGCCCTCACTTCAGGTTTCAGATGTGGATTGCAGGGTGTACAGTCCTGGACACGAAGCTGGTGTATGGCTTCCAGGGTTATGGCCTTACCCCAATTGCCCTGAGCCTGCGAAGGCTGTGGCGATGGTAGCGGAGGTGTTGAGGTTTACGTGTCCTGTGACCTTCCATGAGACTGTAAGAATAGATGCTGAACCGCCTGGTCCTTGGACTCTTGACCCAAAGCCTGAAACAACCCCAAACCCTAAATCCTAAACCCTGAACCCTAAAGCAAAAGCCGCAAGGTGCCGCAAAGTTTGGTCCACGACCCCGCAGCGCCAACAAAGTGGGGCGCTGCTGCCCAGAGGCGCTTCGGTATGTAGGCTTGTTCTCATAACCCAGAGAACCCAAAAACCTTTAGATTAAGGAATGTACCTTAAATTATAGGGGCCTTAATATGATGATTTATGGTATCATTCCTTAATTAAGGGGCATTGGGTCCTCTGGGAAGTCCTACCGAAGAAGCGCCCGAGCCAAGATCTGAAGCTCGGTCACGGGAGTTAAGTGGCAAAGCGGTGCTGTTTAGGGTTTAGGGTTTAGGGGTTAGGGTTTAGCGGTTAGGGTTTAGGGTTTAGGATTTATAAGGCTTAAGGTTTAGGGCACGTGAACCTTCGTACCTGTGAGATTCGTGGCATTACCATATTTCGGATGAGCCCCCACACTAACAGTCGAAAAAGGGCCAGAAGATCAGTTAGTCATATCCCACTAATGAGAATTGATCTTTAGCGTTCTGCTTGCAGCGATGATCATGCAGTACCGGCAAAAGGCAGTCGTCGGCATCGTCGCCGGAATAGTGTAGAGAGCAGCACTACAGTATGATGGCGACCATGCTGGGCAATGATCAATAGCCGTCAGGTCCTATTGTTCTCGTAGTAGCCATCTACTTACTCCCTAGGAGACGGGGTCGAATTTTCAATCCCGCCGGACCGCCAGGAGTTCAATCCTTGCAAGCGCTGTACAGCGACCTCGAGGTGCTCTTTTGCGTGACCACGCTCACATTGTCGAGTTCTTTCTCATGCTACACTGGCTTCAACGCAATGCTCTAATAAGTGGCTTGCATAGTAAATGCAATTAGTCCGTATCCTAACTGTATCGCAGCACACACGCCACTCTGCTTGACTTCCCAGTCATTTGCCGATCGCTTCTGGCCTGCATGCTATACTCGGAGACTTTAATGGGTAGGGGTGTTCAAGGGAATCTCTTGTCTGCAGGTAGAAGAAGTTGGACTTTTACTTTAGAATCTATTGTCGTTTTGGACAGGAACTGTCGTTCCAACCTCCTCCAACCGACAGGTGGAGCCCGGGGATGGGCGTGGAATGCGCGATTCCACGCAGGCGCGAGCGCGGAGCGGCGGGTCTTTTGATTCCTTTGCTTGCCCCAGGCCGAAAAAACTCAAAGAAGCTGAAACCCTATCCCTAAATACATATACCCCTAGCCCCTAAAACCCTACCCTTGAACCCCAAAACCCTAAATATAAGCCCTACGATTCCAAGCTCCCAAGTTCGCAAACTCAGTTCTACGCAGGCAGTTGGCCAGTTCAACGACGAGGCGTTCCTCGAAACGGACTGCGGGAGTGTGTAGAGACGAAGACAAACCATAGGAAGATATGAGGGGTAGAGTTCCGGTTCAAAGTTTCGGGATCAGTGTTCTGGGTGTTGCGAGAGTACTGCAGCGAAGAGTAGCTCAGAGAACAGCTCCAAGAATTTGCCAGACTTCGGCTTTCCAGCCGACCTCAGCATCAGAGCCGGACAGCTGTAGCAGTGTTAGTTAGTTTACATTTACACCTAGGACCTCAGCAGGTCTAGGATGCGCCACGCGGGAACGACGATGACTGCTTCTGCTTCGGCAACTGCTGCTAGCACCAGGCATACGGAGTTGCACTCGCACCTTCAGGCCTGCTGCCACGACGCCTATTACACACAACAACTAGTACTATGCGCTGAAAATGAGTTTAATGAAGCAGCCATTGTCCCCAAAGCAGTATTCAGCAAAAAACGGCAGCTGTGGAAATGTCGTAGAAATGCTTCCAAGTGCCCAGCGTCATGGTTGGAAGTGTTGCATTGACATGTGACTGCGAGAAACACCAAGTTTGAGACGAGCAGGGTGACCTGTTTCGGGCGGGTTGTTGTCGCATGCAGAGCTCATTCCATGCCGCCTAGTTTCGTATGTATGTGCTTACAGTACAGCATGACCTGCTCTGCCACCAGAGGACGTGGAGCACTTGCACCGCGAGTACGGCCTCAGCTCACATCTACGGAGCGATATCAAGGTGCCGCGGTGGGTTCCCGGTGTGTGCCACTGGTTTATGGAGCACTCTCAGGTCCAGGGGTTTGCCAAGTGCGATGTTGAGCATCACAGCTTCTCCAGAAATGAGCATTGGAGTGGGGATGCACTGTCGATCTACTCTTTCGACACAACACGGCCCATGAGTTGCTGTGCATTCTGGAAGGTTTTCTGCCAGGTGAGCAGGAGCGGGACTAGCAGTCGAGTCGAGAGCAAAACACAGGGCCAATGTTAATAACCCTAAACTCTAAACCCTAAAACCCCCCATACCCCAAACCCGTAAACCCCTAAACCCCTCTTCACCCCTAAACCCTAAACCCTAAACCCGAGGCAACAACAGTCCTCGGCCTCGTTCTCGTCCTCGTGGTTCTCCTCGTCGTCGTCGTCGTCTTTGTCGCTCGTTCTTCAGGATGGTGACGTCGTCAACATCATCATCGTTCGAATCATAAGCGTTGTTCTCCTAAGCAGTATCGCCAATTCCGCCTCCACCGTCAGAGTCGTCATCGCAACGACCATTCTCGTACTCATCACATCATGGCAGCCATAGTGAGGACACTGCACAACCCTGGCCCCAAACGGAAGCCCGCTTGGAGGTGGAGGGCGTGCGCGGGAAGGCAAGCGCACCCACGAAAGTGTGATTCGTTGCCGCAGTCGGTTTTTCTGTGCAATCTTCGAGAGAGAGAGATCCACCGTATACATGACTTGTCAGGGTAGTGCCCCTTTGGGCCGGAATACATGGTTTCATCCTTTTTGGGCTACCCGCCGAGATTTTTCGCATCCTTGGCTGTGGATATCCGGACTCCGTCTCCAACGGTTTGCTCCATGTTGTTCCGCGCAGCGACGGTGTGGCTGCCAGGTGGACAATGCCGACACCGGTGGGGAAGGTTCTCTTGACCTTCAGGTGGGGGTTTAGGGCCAAGGGGTTTAGGGTTCAGGGGTTTAGGGTTTAGGGGTTTAGGGCTTAGGGGTTCAGGGGTTTAGGGTTTAGAGGTTTAGGGTTTAGGACTGCTGAGTTTCTAGGAGGCGTGTCGAAGCTCCCTGGCCGCTCAACGCCGCCTAAAGACCTGTTTGCTCTGGGCAGGTCATAACGACGCTGGCATTCGGAGCCAACACGACATGGTGCCTCGCCTGCACCAGGAGGCTTTGCGGCGAGTGCAGCTTTCGGTTCTATGTGCAGGCCAGAGAGTTCTCTAGTAGAAAGTTTCTTGAACTGTCACGCTTGCTTTCCTTGAGAGTCTCAGTAGTCAGTGGGCTGGAGAGCTACGATCACCTTTCACCCGGGCCATTTTTCTCGCGTTCACTCAAGCAGAAAGTGCAGCCACTAGAAGAGAGCTTCACCATGTCTGGCCTGAAAACCGAAGCCATTCGCGTGATGACGACGGCATCCAGTGAGGGCTCCCAGCAATCCACGGCGGCGAGTGCAGAGGATCCTCCGTGCCTCGCTGACTTGGGAATCCGGTTGAATCGTGTGCATACTTTCGCCAGAAAGCTCTCTGATGTCTTGATGTCCTGGTACACGAAGTGCGATGCAGAAGACACGCTCCAATTGTGCTCCAAGTTGGACAACATTGTGACTGAGAGTGGACGGACTGACAGGGTGGTGGTTGCTGGAAACGGCAATGTGGGCAAAAGCACCATCGTAAATGCCTTGCTAGGGGAAAAGAGTTTCTGGCCAACTGCCTCTTATTGCATGACTTCCCGCATTTGTGAGATGCACTTTGGCGAGCGCAAGGCATATTCGTCAGAAGATGGTCAAACAGAATCTGCGATGTACTGCGAGAAGATTCCCATAAACATGGTCCACAAGAGCGCTACTTCAGAGCCCGATGAGTTCAAGGCAATGGTTCAGTGCGTTTGCAAGGCCTGGGCCCCCAGCGAGCTGCTGAAGCCGAGTGTTGTTCTCGTGGATCTTCCGGGTTTGGACCAGGAGAAGGAGTACATGCAAGTTCTCGAGGCTTACATGAAGCAGCATCCAGCTCATGCTGCAGTGCTCGTCTATGTTCTGGACGTCAAGAACAAGATCTGCAACTCAGACCGAAGTTTCTTCCAGGAGCTCATGCGATCTTCCTGGATGCCCCTGTCCCAGGGCTTGCATCTCTTGGTCAACAAGTGTGACGCGGACAGAGACGGCCAGGGTGACTCAGACGAAGAACCACTAGACTATGATGAGCTTCTTCAAGACATTGAACAGGAGGCGTCCAACTATTGTACACCGAAAATCTCTGACTTGTCAATGAAGGACCGGAAGCATGGTCTGGAGCAAGCTGTGCAGAAGTGGAATGCTGTTGTCGTTAATCTTCGCACCGCCCTTTCCCTTCACAAGTCCCGCCGATTGCAGGCAAGCTCCGATCTCCTTCAGACTGTCATGGTTGCACTGGAAAGCAAAGTGGGCGATGCCGAAGAGCAAGCTGAAGAGATGCGAAAGCAGGAGCTTGCGATAGAGCAGGCCGAGTCAGAACTGCTTCAGTTCAAGAAGAAAAAGTACTTCTTTGTCAGTGGGCGAGAACAAGAGATCAAGAACAAGCTGGAAGCCAGACGTGCAGAGCATCTCCATGCTATCCTTCGCAGCCCCATTCCTTATTTCAACAGCTATGCATTGGAAACTCAGCTGAAGGAGGTTGACAAAGCCATCGCCAAGAGTGTCGAGGTGATACTCCTCAATGACATGCTCCAGGCTGCCACGGAATCAGTTTGGCATTGGGTGCGGACCTTTCGGATGATCGCTCTTTGTGGGGCTCTTCTTGCAGGCTCGAATTCTACAGCAGCTTTTGCTTTTGCGGGCGCCGCGGCCCTGGGTGTGCTAGCAGCAGCTGCGACTCTATCGACTGTAATCGGCGCTGCTGTCATCTGCTCGGCCGCCGCCAGGATGAGCTGGACGAAGGTGGATGAGGCGTATGTGACAGAGCGCTTCCATGTAATCTATGATCGGTGGGTTAGCCAGTCAAAAGAGGTTGCCGTCAAGGAGTTTGGGTTGATGCAAGAGCACAAGTCTTGCGAGCTGAAGGAGTTGAAGGAATCCTTGGCAGCCTTTCGTGATACGGACCTGCAGCGGCTCGTCCAGCAGGGCTTCGGGGAGGTTCTTAAGCAGCTGCGCTTGGAATATGCTGAGATGATGCAGCTGAATTCAGAGTCACGCAGTGAGTCACCTGTGGAATAAATCTGATTCAGTGCTGAGTGTCTGACTTATCAAAGGCCCGACCGAGATCTTCCTACCGGGTCCGTTCTGTGCCTTAGTGATTACCAAAACTATTTTGGTGGTTCCTTATTATGATTATAGTATAATATACCCCAGAACTCTATTCTAATTATTAAGGCCCCTACATTAGCCAGAGCCGTTTCAATTCGAGGTGACAGGGGAAGGCCTCACAGCCCCCTTGTCGGCCTGCAACGAGGAGCACTCACGGGGCAGTGAGTCGCTGCTGCAATCCAAGGTGACAGGGGAAGACGTGGCTTCTCCCCTATCTGCCTGCAGAGCTGCAGCTTGCGGAAACATGCAAAAGCTGAACTTCAGATTTCCTGACTTTCGCAGCTCGCGCTGAGGGTATAGATAGTATCACGACGGTGGCACTCGTATCACTCTTGCTGCAATTGTTTGCCTAAAGCTTCTTCAGGTCTCCATCGCTCCGTGTTGGTTAAGATGTTTTCCGTACTCGGTAGTAGCATGACCCTGGCGGTGGTGATGACACTCAAGAAGGAAGTCGTATGATCATCACCAACATCGTAGGCATCAGAATCCACAGCGCCACAGGGCTTACTATGCTGGTGCTCGCACGTCTTTATCGACGATGTTTTTTGTCGATTACAGCTGTTGTGATTGCTCCTGTTGCGTCGGACTGAGGTGGGGTGTGGACCCTCTCTCCATGGATGGCTTCATGCTGGCTTACGCCGTGCAGGCGGGATTGAACTGAGGGACACTTTCTGCTCGATCGGTTTGGGTCTAGGGTACAGCAATCAATACGTTTTAGCGGTGATGTCCCCTACCTCCCTGCCCTGTTCAAAAACGGGATAGGTTTAGCTACACAAACTCAGCCTAGGCACCCACCTCTCCTCAACAGTCCAAGTCATATCCTCGGTTGAAAGCTTGTTATCATGCCGCAGTGAGATGTTGCAGATAGATGCTTCAGTGAATTGCTTAGTTCCTAGATGAAGGCTTCTTCGCCCGGAGCCTTACCCTTAGTGAATATCCGAGGTTTCTAACTAAACCCTAAACCCTACCCTAAACCTTAAACCCTAAACCCTAGTTTGCCTTCATCCGAGGGACGGTGGAGGGAATCACTTCATCTCCACTCCTGTCGGCCCTAGGTCAACGATCACCCGGACCCGCCGCTGGTGCACAGCATCAGCTGGGGCGATGCAGAGGCGGCGTGGCCTCGATCAGATTCTTAAGTTTGCAGCCGTAGAAGTTGAAAAGCCGACCTAATAATACTTGTAAAGCTTATACGAGGGTCTGGTAAGCATTCTCCAAACCGCTTCCGGCAGGCTTTGTATCCACCCATCTTCATTCAGCGCTTGGATTACGAATTGCTGAAGTGGCTCGGGCTGACATTTTTGCCCGTGCTCTTTGCAGATGTGTGGTGGCATGAGAACGTGGTTGCCCCTGTGCCGCGAATTTTTTGCCGGGGTCTCGAAGACTTACTGAGATGAAGCATTCATCAGTCTGGAACCAGGTTGGCCCTCCGTGGAATCACTGTCATTGTTGCGAGTGGCGACAATGGGAGCCTCCGCTGATTAGATGATTAGCTAGCTGGTTGCGATCGTGATAGAGGCAGTCCTCGCTTCTCCTGGGTTTAACGCGGCTCGAAGCTTGAATCTTGGAGCTCAGAGAGACAGAGGCATCCGACCTAAATCGTTTATCTCTTCAATCAAGCGGAGGCACCGGCAGCCCTTGATTCTAAGACGCTTCGCCTTTGGATCATCCGCGAGCATCCAGTCCTAAGCCCTAAGCGCTTGAAGGAACAGCCCAAACCCTGAACCCTAAGCCCTGAACCCTAAACCCTAACCCCTAAGTCGGCCCTAAGTCGGCTCTAAGCCCTTGAAGGAACAGCGCCGTGGGCACCGACTGCGACTTCCTCCCCGACCTTGTGGGGACCTCGCCCTGGGCCTCTCAGCTGACACTTGAGCCGTGATGGTTATGAGTCGGGTTTAGGGTTTAGTTTAGGGCCCCTAGGGTTTAGGTGTTTAGGGGTTTAGGGTTCAGGGGTTTAGGGTTTAAGGTTTAGGGTTTGGGGTTTAGGGTAGTCATGAGCACTGATTTTGCCATGCATCAAGAGCCACTTAAAATGCGAACCTGCAGCAGCCTTCATGATCAACCTCATTCCTGAAGTGGCTGCTAAAGTCAGCCTTCTTTGAAAGAAGGCCATGATCTGTTGAGGTCACCTCTGTGGGGGCCACAATGCCCTCGCTGGAGTCGCAGCCATACTGTGCGGCAAGGCCTCGCCTTGGATCTGCGTTAGGGCAGAGAAGTATCGAACGTGCTAGGTCTCTACCTGTAGGGTATGGCGGGTCTAGCAATTCGTGGCCCAGTTCTTGGAGGTCATCAGTGGGTTTAAGGCTGGCTAGATCTGGGGTTTACGGCTTGAAGGCCGGTTTTACTTATGGGGTCAAATTCATGATTATGCACTGGGAATGGATTCAAAAACAGGGGATCAGTTTAGGTCGCTATGGTGCAGTGTGTTTCAGCCAGAGATTGATTCACGTTGGCGCACCGTCGCCAACTGGCACAGGCCTACAACTCTGTAGCGTGAGCATGTTACTTGTTGGCTCCGCTGGAGCTCCTGCCCCTTAGCCCTAAACCCTAAGCCCTAAGCCCTACACCCTAAGCCCTAAACCCTTAAAACCATCCTAAACCGAGTGCAGGTCCTTCCAAGACGAGTTCGGCGAATGTGTGGAGCCGGGGCAGGCTTCTCCTTCTGAGCTTGGGTTCAGGGTTTCGGGTTTAACGGCAGAGGGCTTGCACTTAGGGTTTAGGGTTTAACGGTATAGGCCTAGGCATAGGGTTTAAGGGCAAAACGGGTTTGCTTCTTTGAGTTGCATGCAAGAATCGAGGCAGGTGGTATGCTCAAGGCGCAATGGCGAGGCACCCACATTTTCTCCAATCATGACGCCACCCGAAGAAGTGGAGACTCCTTTCCACATTCCTCAAGTCTTTGAGCCCACCCAAAGTCAACTTGAATCCCCCTAAAGCCCTATAGACCCTACACCCTAAACCTTAAACCCCTAAACCTCGAAACCCCTAAACCCTAAACCCTAAATAAACCCATAAACCCATCATTTCTGTGGTGAGGTGGTTTGCTCCACCAGCGAGGCTCGAAGAGGGGGTGGGGCCAAGCAGAAGGATTAGGGTTTGGGGTTGAGGGGTTCAGGGCTCAGGGTTTAGGGTTTACGGGTTTTGGGGTTTAGGGTTTAGGGTTTGGGGTTTTAGGGTTCAGGGTTTTTGGTTCAGGGTTTAGGGGTTGCTTGTTGGGTGCTGCTGGGTTCCTCAGCCCCCATGTGAACTGCCCCATAACACTTCTCGCCTCTTGGCTGCCGAATCACCCCGAAGCCCTAAGCCCCTAAGCCCCCAAACCCTAACCGAATCACCCTAAGCCCTATAAACCCTAAGCCCCTAACCGTAACCCTAAACCCATAACCGAATCACCCCACTAGAGGATCCACGACCTGAAGCAGAAAGCCCCGAAACCTACAGCCGTCTTCAGGGGGCGCTGATCACGAGCTCTGGGTACTTCTCCATCTACCGTTCTCGGCCACGCTACCAGGACTGCAGGTCCCGCCACCCACGGTTTAGGGTTTAGGGTTTAGGGCTTAGGGTTTAGGGTTTAGGGTGTCCCGCCACAACCTCGTCTTGCTGATGAGGGTGTACTTCGCAGCAGCCCAAAGACCAGTCAAGATGACCCAGGCAGTACTCTACTACAAGTAGTAGTGAGTGCTCCTCTATCTACGGTAGTTGACATGCTATGTCTAGCAGTGGCCACCGCCATCCTGGCAAGCAGCAGCCGCGGCTAGCAAGATTACCCTGAGTTGAATTTGCATAAGTGTCTGTTCTTGTTGGGAAAAGGCGGTTGGATTTTATTGAGACACCCGCCGATCCGCAACCCTTGAACTTGAAACACCTCAATCTAAAGCCACACATTGCCAGAGCCGCAGAAGACCCCCAAGCCTCAAAGCCTACATGACCAGGTCACCAGCACTCGCACGACCATCGGTGTGACGTACCGTATTGTTACCAAAGACAGTCGGTTCGGTCATTTTCTACTCTTGTTGTCATTAGAAAAAGCGGTTGAAGAGCAGGTGGTGATGGCGATGACGATTGTGGCCACGATGATGGCAATGCTGACATTCCTGGCTACGTGAAACGCACTGAAACCATCGACGCACAGCCCGAACCTTGAAACGGTGCACAAACTCATTGGAATCCATGTGAGGATCGTGCCTTGGCCGTCTTCCTTGGCAGTGATGCTGGGCCCTGCAAATAAGCAGCGCGTAGCTACGGGCTTCGGCACTTTTCGGGAGAAGAGCTTGCAGATTTTGCAGCAGGCTGGTGGTAGTGGACCTGGGAACAGTGGAGACTTTGTGCAATCCGGGCTTGGGCTGTGAAGGACAGAGTTGTTGTGGTAGAGGCCTTCCGGGATGTTTAGATAGCAACTCATAAGTTGCACAGTTACATGACTACAGCAAACGTCCTTGGCAACCGAAAAGGGAAGCAACCCTAAACCCTAAACCCTAAACCGTAACAAAGGATCCACACTGGTCTTGTCGTAGAGCCTCGAGCCATTTGTCCGAGAGTCGCACCCTTACCCTCAAAGGACTCATATTTTAGGGTTTAGGGTTTAGGGGTTTAGGGGGGGTTTTGGGCCTAAAGACCCTATTATATGTGGCTGTTGGGCTATTTGTGATGCTAAGGGTTAGAGATGGCCCAGGATTGCCTTCCATGCCATGTGCGCAACGACTCCCTTCACGCACTTCGGCATTTTTCATTTGTTGCTTCTGTGGATGCGAAGGGAGAGGGGGGAGAAAGTTCAGATCAAGAGGCTCACGGACTGTGGACAGCAGCGGCCCCGAAATCTCTGCATGGAACGAGCCACCAGAAAAAGCCACCTGAGGGAAGGAGAACGGCATCCATGTACTCGGCATGTTCTCATGTGTCGTGATCTGCGACCGGCACAACAGAGTGTTCGGATCCCTAGCCGCGTTTGCTACAGCCTCGCCAGTACAATTCTTGTGGCTTTCTTCGAGTCGATTGTCACAAGTCCTAGCTGCCTAGCTGCGGTCCTAGCTCTACACCAGAGCTTGTGCTTGAAACAGCAACGAGATAGTCAGAAAGTCACAATGAGAATGATGTCGGTGGCCGACGGGGTTGGTAGCTGGGGCGTGTGCTGGTGGTTGTGGTCGGCGTCTTCACCCGTGTCACGATAGTAGCGCCAGCAGCCTTGTTGACAGTCGGTGCATGTCGAAGTCTACATGACAGATGTCAAACTGGAACTACCAGGCAAGTTTCGTGGAAAATGTGTAAAATGTTCAATCCCTCTTTATTATGCAAGCACAACAACCTACTTGAAGGTCACGCTCGCTTTCAAAAAAGCCTAGTGTTTTCCCATTCCGAGGTTGGCCAATTGGAGATACCCTGCCAGCACGCGGCTCGTCACAAGAATTCCTGGGTCCTTGTTCAGGGATTTAATCGAAGTTACCATAATAAGGAAACCATACTATTTATTATAGATCCCTATGATGGTAGCTTAAATTAAATCCCTTAACAAGAACCCGGATTCAGAATTTTGGCACTGGGGCGGGGGGGGGGGTCGGAGCCCGTGTTCCGTCGGAGCAGGCGCCTAGCTCCATGTTCATATCTGCAGAAGCCCGTCCAGAGGGAACCCCCCCTCAGACTTAAGCCTAATTGAGACAAGCCTAAACCCCTAAACCCCTAATTAAACCCTAACCCCCCAACCCTAAACCCTAAACCCCTAATTAACCCCTAAACCCTAAACCCCTAAACCTTAAACCCCAAACGAAGCCCTTCCTTCCGGGCCGTTTCGAATTCCAGGTGAATCGCTCCGGCTGCCCCCTGCACAACCTGATCCGAGGGAGCCGTGCAGCGCCGGACGCCGGGCTCTGATGGGGGGAGACTATGGGTTTAGGGTTTAGGGTTTAGGGGTTTAGGGGTTATGGTTTAGGGTTTTGGGTTTTGTTTAGGGTTTAGGTACATTTCTGGGTCCTTGTCTTGTTGGAAACAATTTTGCATTTCTGGGATAATAAAACCCTAATATGGATTAAAAACTTGATCATTTTTTATATGGCCCCCAACGGGGAACCAGATTTCATTATGGGAGCTGACAGCCCGCTCGTTATGGTGGCGGCTCTGCAATCCCTGCATCTTTCCGCCCGAGCGCCTGCCATCTTTGTCATGTTTACATGCCCACAAGATTTGCAAGCAGGACGTGGCCTTACCGGGGCAAAGCTACCCGGTCGCTTTGGCGGCAGTGTGTGCAGGGGGGGTGTTCTGCACACAGACCTCGGGTCAGGTCTTGGATATGAGAGGCACATGGTTCATCGGGATTGAAGCAGCATACTTTTCATGCAAGAAATTGGACATGTGCAAAAGGCTGTTCACAAACGCTCTCTGCAGCTTTTGTCGTTTTGACGTTGGAACGGAGGTTTGTTGATCTTAGAGTCTATGCCTCTTCACACCTTATGATACAGTAGCCGTAACGGCCCAAGTGACGCTGCCATGTGATGCTGCCCGACCCTTTATTATACTGCATCCATTCATCTATAAGTCTCCGGGAAGTCCGAATCCCCGCATGTGAAACAGACCGTGGTCAACAAGAGCGTTCTGTCCTTTGACGGCACCTCTGCGTCAGCGCCGGCGTTGGCAGCACTGGCTCCTCGGTTGTTAGTGTCCAACTGTGGCTTAGGATGTCTTTTGTTTCTTGGTTTGTTTGGGGTAGGGTGGAAGGTTCGATGCTGCTTGCCTGGTGAGAGAGACAGAGAGAGAGAGAGAGAGAGATATATATATATATATATACATACATATCAGACTCGTGTATGTAGGAATTCGTATGCAGGCTCGTTTCGAGTAGTGCCGAGTGTATGTTGGTTGTGATTATTGGGACACCGGCGACAAGCGTGGTCCAACTTGGACCCTCTCTGATTTGGTGAGCATCTTTCACCTCAGACCGGAAACCGCACTAAAGTCAATAGTTCAACTCCTCAAGTCCTAAACCTCAAACAGACTCCAAGAAAAACCCTAAACCCTAACCCCCTAAACCCTAACCCCTAAACCCTAAAACCCTAACCCCTAAACCCTAAATCTAACCCCTAAAACCTTAAACCCTAAACCCCTAAACCCCTAAACCCCAAGCCCTAAACCCTAAACCCTAACCCCTAAACCCGAACCCCTAACCCCAAACCCCTAAACCCTTGTTACAACCCTAAACCCCCAAACCCTGAACCCGAAACCCTAAACCCTGAACCCTAAACCCCTGAACCCCTAAACCCTACAAACCTCAGGATGCCAGAGCTGAACGGAAGCCCAGGTCTCTCGGCTGAACGAAGCGCAGCGCCGAGCAGGGCGTCCCTCTCTGGGCTTGCTGAATCCCTGGCTCTACCAGGCAGGGCTCTGGCGAAGAAGGCCTCTAAGGGCCTAATGTAGGGTTTAGGGGTTTAATTAGGGTTTAGGGGTTAGGGGTTTAGGGGTTGAGGGTGTAGGGTTTAGGGCTCCTTTTAAGGGATCCTTTAAAGGGTTCCTTTAAAAGGGTTCTATGAGGGATCTATTAGAAGAGGGTTCTATAATAATAGGGGCCTAACTTGTTATTTTGTCTATACTGTTTTGGGGGTTCCTTAATTATAATCATAATTTTAGTATAGTATACCTCAAGACCCTACTCTGCTTATTAAAACCCCTACATTAGTGCGTTGGGTTTAGGGTTTTGGAGTTAGGGCTTAAGCTTTCAGGGTTCAGGGCCCGGACTTGTCAAACGAAAGTGTTTGGGAAAGGACTTTAACGATGTAGAGATCTTAGATTTCGAATCTCAGGGCTTAGCATCTGAATCTGAGATTCCAACTTCACCGGTTGAGATGCCCTGTGGGGGGAAAACCAAAGCTACAGGTCCTGTTTTATTCACGGGTAATAAGGATCCTGGTGTTGATTGTTGTACAAGTCTGAAGCCCCCGTCTAGCCACGAAGTGCAATCCGAGCAAGCTGCTTCTCAGAATATGGAGCAGCTCCACAAACCGACAGCAGCGCCAATAGTCATCAATACGAGCTTGTCTGGTATGCGTAGCTTGGAGTAGCTTCTGTTGCTTTACTCCAGCAACACCCACCCTCCGACAGGTGCACGAGGAGCATCCAGAGGCGTTCTTGGATGTCTCTCTGCTCAAATACGGCTGCACATGCGGGCCGCCTCAAAGAAGACATGCCCGTTGCGCTGGGCCCGGAAACGTAAGACCGGCTCCATGCGTTGTTGGGAACTGCATGTCAACATTTCGTCTCTGGGATGTTGCGATGATCGCGCTTCCAGAGGTGCACAGTACGGGTTACAGTCATGAGCATTTCAAGCTGTAGTGGTGAGATTGAGCGTCTTTCTGGAACAAGCATGACAAGCATTACAGGAGCAGCCAGCAGGGCACCCTTGTCTTCACGGGACGCTAAGCCTTGGGCAACTCTAAACTGCCAGCCCTCCTTGCAACCCTGATGCTCAGGTCGTGGTCGGCGATACGGCCTCCACGGAGGAGCGGTTCGTGTTTTCAAATTTTCAACGTG